GTCCGTAGCCCAGGCACTTCTCGCATCGCAGGGGCTCGGGCTTGGTACAGGCGGCCGCCTGGTGACCCTTCTCTCCGCACCGGAAGCAGCGGCCGTGCATGCTACTTGCACCGCCGCCGCCGCCTCCGCCGCTGTTGCCACCACCACCGCCCCCACCGCCCTTGCTGCCACCCCCTTTCCCCTTCTGGCCGCCACCACCGCCGCCGCCACCCTTGTTGCGGCCGCCGCTGCTGCGGCCGGGCGCTCCACCCCTGCTGTTACCGTCTCTCGCGAGGAAAGCATGCTCCGCCTTGTGCTGGCCCTTCGGGGCCTTCCTCCCCTCCGGGAGGCTCGCGTGCACCGTGCTTACGATCCTGACGATCTCGCCCCTGTCCAGCTTTGTCGCCGTCTCCAACAGGAACTTCGCTTGTTGGTACTCGGGTGGAAGCGAGTCGACGAAGTGTGCGAGGACAAATGGTGTGTCAGCGTTGAGCCCCTTTTCGCGTAGGCGCATGTATATCTGCTCGAGCTTGCTTAGGTGCTCGATTGGATTGCTGCTGCTGTGTGCCGGGATCGAGAAGCGGAACATCTCTTTCATCAGGGCTTGTTTGGATCCCTGCGACTCGGGGTCGTAAACTTTTTCAAGCTCCGTAAGGACCCCCTTCGCCGTCACACAACTACTGACGACCGCTTTGTCGGTTTCTTTCACCACGGCGGTAGTGATGAAGTGGAACGCGGCGAGCCCACGTGCGACCTCGCTCCTAGTGTAGCGCAAGTCGTTGTACAGTGTGGAGGTGGGCATATTCGGGTCGCCCACGGGGGCATGGGCGTGGCGCGCTACCGCACGCACAGCGAACGAGATGTCCGGGCGCGAGAACGTCGACACCCACATCATGCTGCCGATGGCCTCCCTCGCCGGAACACGAGGTACGAGTCGTCAACGAGTGCCGAAGGTCTGCTCGCCCGCCATGCATCGGCGGCCGGGCTGCCCACCCTGCCCATCAACAGAAAGGAGGAGTAGCAGCAGGGCTGCTGCACACAACAAAAGGGGGCCCCGGTGCATCATCACCGTACCCCTACCTAAAAGGTTCTACACCATCTGCGTCACACTTGTATGTACGGCTAACATATCCAAACCATGTCCGTAGACCCACGAACATTGGGTGTGCCAGGGTACGTATAGTTGTGTAACGCTCGCTCTTCTTGTAACCTCAGGCCTTCAAAACAGCCGTATCGATATCGAGTATCGATACTCGATACGTACCGAGCCATTTTCGGGATATCGAACAAAATATCGGTATTTGTGTTTTTCTCTCGATACGATGGGCGTATTGTATCGAACCCTTCTGCCCGACCAATATCCATCACTGCTACACGATCTCTACAAGGGCAGAAGATAAAGAGACAAATGTCGGCTACCGTGCACCGGCCAGAACGAGTCACTCACAACGTGTCACGTTTCACGGCTTTTGTGTATAGAAAGGAAGATGACTTCGTTGCAGCTGATTGGCGGACGGCCTCCGGCAGTTGCAAAACTGTCGCAGCCGGAGTGGCAATCCTTGCCTCGCAAAGGCGTGTTCTGGTGACAGAGAAAGTGGCGGCAACGCTCGACACGCTCTCAAACTTCCGGGTCGAAGACCGTGGTCGCAGCGTTGGCCACGGCAACGGGGGAGGGTGCGGAGGAGAGGCGCGCGCCGCTGGCGAGGGCGGCGTGAGACCCAAGGCCGCTGATTTCTTCACCCACGGGAAAGACAAATAGGGGTGCGGGCTCTCCCGCGTGGCGGGGGGGGGGCTACCTCGGTTGGCAGCGCACATGCGGCCAAATCGAACGGCAGCACGCCGGTCTACACGAGGTTGGCCCGGGGCAATCAGCAGTCTCAGGTCCTGGGACAGGCAGGACGGGACTCTGTTGCCGACGTCTTGGCATCCAGCTCGTCGAGCACTCAGTTGTCCGAGCACTCAGTTGTCCGAGCACTCAGTTGTCTAGAAGGACTTACACGTCAGGCTTCAACTCTTGGTGCACGTTGCGGAGGCTGACGGAGAAGCCCAAGTTTCTAGGGCAACGTGCCAGGGACCTTCATGTGTGGGAGTTGATAGACTTCGTAGCCTGGTGTTTCGAGTCTGAGGGTAATCTAGCGAGCACAATATCCGGAAAAATCACGGCTGTGCAACATTTTCATATTTGTAGGCTGGAAGCTTCGGTCGTGCTAGACTTGTCGTCTCCGATGTTGAAATGTGCGCTAAGGGGGATGGCGACGAACCACGAGGCTTTGGGCACGGAAAGTTCCCTAATGCATTGCAACGGTACGCCGTGTGCGCCTGCCTGTGTACTGGCGTATGCCGCTGGACGGGGAAAGCGCAAGGCAGAACTGGGGGGAAGGGGGCAGAGTGATGTGGCTGTGTCTGTGCCTGTCCTATCTCTTCATCACACGGTCTGATGAGGTGTTCGCGAATGACGCGGGCAGGGTGCATGAGGCACACCGTCTTCCAAGGGCGGAAAAAGCATTGTTTGCCGGCGGGACGCAACTAGACTTTAGTCACTATCGTAGAGCAGACCGTGTCGAGATGAGGTTTAGAGGGCACAAGGCCGATCAAGAGCAGAAAGGCAACATACGGGTTCGTACGCGAAACGAAGTCACTGGACCGCAGTCAGGTGTGAGAGCACGCGGCGGCGCGGTGGCTCTTGTGGTGGAGCTATTGTCGTGTCATGCGACGTTGCCTGACTCCGCTCCGTTGGCTTCGTACCGTAGTGGAAGAGCAGTGAGAGTAGTTGAGGTATAGTGCTGCCCTCCGTGCAGTCAGAGAAGTGGTAGCGAAGTCGGGGTGTAACCCCCAGGAGTACGCGTTGCACTCGTTGCCAATTGGAGCCGCGACGGCTCTTGCATCGGGCGGAGACATCGCAGAACGAGTGATTCAGAGAGAAGGAAAGTGGAGGTCGATTGCCTACAAGCCGTACGCGCGAAACAATGTAGAGGATTCGCGGCGAGTGTCACGGAACTACAGACGGCAGCAGGATAGTATCGAGACAGCCGGGGGAGGGGACCGTATGGGGAACGCATAGTAGTTGACTTATTCGGTAACAGTCCAGAAACTGACCTCGATGTGGGTGTTGTAGAATGGTGTGTACCATTTGAGGACTTGGTCAGTTTTGGGACTCCTGCGTTAGCAGTCGTAGTCCCCCGGCTAGTATTTGTGGGGAGAGAGATGGATTTGTAACAGTTGACGCCGGCCTTCGCAGCTAACGCGGCCGGAGAGACGATGAGCGTTTCATGCGTCTCTCTCCCCAACACGTAGCCTAGAAATCGAAGAAATAATGAAGCAATTCGAAAGAAAACAAAATTCGATACGTACCGAGCCATTTTCGGGATAAATATCGAACAAAATATCGGTATTTTGTGTTTTTCTCTCGATACGATGGGCGTATTGTATCGAACCCTTCTGCCCGACCAATATCCATCACTGCTACACGATCTCTACAAGGGCAGAAGATAAAGAGACAAATGTCGGCTACCGTGCACCGGCCAGAACGAGTCACTCACAACGTGTCACGTTTCACGGCTTTTGTGTATAGAAAGGCAGATGACTTCGTTGCAGCTGATTGGCTGTTTGTCTGATCTGACAGTCCCGGAAGGAGACATACGTTCGTACATACGTTGATGTGCAGCCCTACGGAGAGTCGATAACACAGAGTACCTAGAAGGCATTGCGTTGTAGGGCTGCCCCCAACTTCGGCCCGGCTGGGGAAAGATGCATGGTTTAGATTACGTTCCATCCATCCTCCCAGATGGATGGAACGTAATCTCCGGGGCTGGATGGACCCTTCGCCATGCTGCTCTGCTGCTTCTAGCAGATATCATGATAAAGAGATGGATTCGTTGGGCCATGCTGATGAGATAAAATAAAATATAATTGGGTTTTATACAACAAGATGGCGTCATGCGGAAGAACAAGAAAAGTCGTGCTTCGTTTGAAGGCACGACGTGCCAACAATGCCGTGCAGTTCCCAAAACCGTTCCCAAAAGTACATAGACATGCGCGAGAGCGAGAAGGCTACCCGCTCACACGTTTCGTCTCCACAGTCGCTTGGAGTCTCGCGGAAGGTGCTTCCTGCTATTCCTCGCGATGGGCCGTGCCGAGATCAAACATTGCGGGCAGCGCCCGCAGCATTCGCAACAGCAGCAATCGCTGCCGTGCGTGCCTTTTCGAGATCTACCGACGAGACCGAAGATGTTCTTGCCGCAGCAATGGCCTCACCCGTGGCCATTCGGCTAAGCCACAAGGTTGGGGGGGGGGGGGACTTTATCGGTACGCCCCCCATTAGGCGTTGACTAGGGTTAGGTAACCTGGGCAAGGTCAAGTACCTGGGCAGGGTTCGGCACGAGCGACCTTTTGGGTACGCCCCCCATTATCACATGACTAGGGTTAGGTAACCTGGGCAAGGTCAAGTACCTGGGCAGGGTTCGGCACGAGCGACCTTTTGGGTACGCCCCCCATTATCACATGAGTGGGGTTGGGTAACCTGGCCAAGGTATAGTACCTGGGCAGGGTTAGGCACGAAAGGCACGTTGCCCTCGTTCCAGACCCTGCCAACGTACGTCAATGGTAACCTGGACACAGTCCGAAACTGGGTAGGATTCGGTATACAAGGAACCTTGGCCTAGGTCCAGACCATGGCTACGTAGGCACAGCGACCTTGGGCTTGGTTATGGGCATGCCATCGTCGCGTCTGTACCACTAT